TATTTTGGTGAACAGTTAAAGGCAAAAATATATGATGTATTCGTATTCATAAACTTGTATTTTTTACGAGATTTTTTACCAACATTTTACATTCCTATACATTAGAGCACTGAAATTTGTAATTATGATTAGTAACTTCCATTGAATAGAATATAATTTCGGTATAATGTGTTTCGTGATCGAACTTTTTTTGATTTGCTAATGTATTGTCATGTTCATGTTGGATTTGGGGAATTTTTTGCAGAAAATTATTAACAAAAAAATCGGTAATAGGTTCAATGAAGAGCCTAAAATTAGCCTTTAATTATGGTGCACTCAATATTCTTATATTCCTTCTATTTGAGATTTGGTTCTGCTAGCTTAACGGTTAAGCTAGCAAAACCCATGATTGTTTTAAAAAACAATGTGCGAAAAAATTGGCAATATGCTAGGATCAGAGCCTAAAATTAGCCCTAAATTATGGCATGATTAGTTTTGTGATTGAACTTTGTTTGGTCTGCTATTGGTTTGTCATGTTCACATGTTAGCTTAACGGTTAAGCTAGCGAAACCCATGATTTTTTTTAAATCAGTGTGCGAAAAAATTGGCATTAGGCTAGGATCAGAGCCTCAAATTAGCCTGAAATTATGGTATAATTAGGTTTGTGATTGAAGTTTTTTGGTTTGCTATTGGTTTGTCATGTTCATGTTGGATTTGGGAATTTTTTGCAGAAAATGATTTTTTAAAAAATCGATAATTGGTTCAACGAAGAGCCTAAAATTAGCCTTAAATTATGGTGCACTCAATATTCTCATATTCCTTCTATTTGAGATTTGGTTCTGCTAGCTTAACGGTTAAGCTAGCAAAACCCATGATTTTTTTCAAAAAACGAGTAAAAAACAATGTGCGAAAAAATTGGCAATAGGCTAGGATTAGAGCCTAGAACTATCCTGAAATTATGACATAATTAGGTTTGTGATTCAAGTTTTTTTGGTTTGCTATTGGTTTGTCATGTTCATGTTAGATTTGGAATTTTTTTTGCAGAAAATGATTTTCAAAAAAATCGATAATAGGTTCAACGAAGAGCCTAAAATTAGCCTTAAATTATGGTGCACTCAATATTCTTATATTCCTTCTATTTGAGATTTGGTTCTGCTAGCTTAACGGTTAAGCTAGCAAAACCCATGATTTTTTTAAAAAAACAGTGTGCGAAAATATTCGCAATATGCTAGGATCAGAGCCTTAAATCAGCCTGAAATTATGGCATAATTTGTTTTGTGATTGAATTTTTTTTTGGTTTGCTATTGGTTTGTCATGTTCATGTTGGATTTGGGAAATTTTTTGCAGAAAATGATTTTCAAAAAAATCGATAATAGGTTCAACGAAGAGCCTAAAATTAGCCTTAAATTATGGTGCACTCAATATTCTTATATTCCTTCTATTTGAGATTTGGTTCTGCTAGCTTAACGGTTAAGCTAGCAAAACCCATGATTTTTTTAAAAAAACAGTGTGCGAAAATATTCGCAATATGCTAGGATCAGAGCCTTAAATCAGCCTGAAATTATGGCATAATTTGTTTTGTGATTGAATTTTTTTTTGGTTTGCTATTGGTTTGTCATGTTCATGTTGGATTTGGGAAATTTTTTGCAGAAAATGATTTTCAAAAAAATCGATAATAGGTTCAACGAAGAGCCTAAAATTAGCCTTAAATTATAGTGCACTCAATATTCTTATATTCCTTCTATTTGAGATTTGGTTCTGCTAGCTTAACGGTTAAGCTAGCAAAACCCATGATTTTTTTAAAAAAACAGTGTGCGAAAAAATTGGCAATAGGCTAGGATCAGAGCCTTAAATTAGTCTGAAATTATGGCATAATCAGATTTGTGATTGAAGTTTTTATTTGGTTTGCTACTGGTTTGTCATGTTCATGTTGGATTTGGTAAATTTTTTGCTAAAAATGATTTTTCAAAAAATCTATAATAGGTTCAATGAAGAGCCTAAAATTAGCCTTAAATTATGGTGCACTCAATATTCTTATATTCCTTCTATTTGAGATTTGGTTCTGCTAGCTTAACGGTTAAGCTAGCAAAACCCATGATTTAAAAAAAAACAGTGTGCGAAAAAATTCGCAATAGGCTAGGATCAGGGCTTTAAATTAGCCTGAAATTATGGCATAATTAGGTTTGTGATTGAAGTTTTTTTGGTTTGCCACTGGTTTGTCATGTTCATGTTGGATTTGGGAAATTTTTTGCAAAAAATGATTTTCAAAAAAATCGATAATAGGTTCAACGAAGAGCCTAAAATTAGCCTTAAATTATGGTGTACTCAATATTTTTACATTTCCTCTATTTGAGATTTGGTTCTGCTAGCTTAACGGTTAAGCTAGCAAAACCCATGATTTTTTTAAAAAAACAATGTGCGAAAAAATTGGCAATAGGCTAGGATTGGAGCCTAAAATTAGCCTTAAATTATGGCATAATTAGTTTTGTGATTGAACTTTTATTTACGAAGTGGTTCTGCTAGCTTAACGTTAAGCTAGCAGAACCCACGTTTTTTTACATAAATCGAAGAGCAATAAATTCGGCAATAGGGTAATAAATTAGCCTTAAATTAGCCTAAAATTATGGCCGAAGAAAAAATTGAAAAATTCGAAGTGGTTCTGCTAGCTTAATGGAGGTTTTTAAAGGAAGTAGAGTGAATCTGATACATAGGAGACCAAATAATAGATGCATACCCCAACTGAGATAAAACAAGTGATGAGAAAACCCTTATTAATGCTTGGTTTGATAAACCTAACCAATTGCACGTATTTGAACCTAGTACTTTAGATGACTTCACACTAACTTTGTTTATGTGCTCAACAAATCTAAGCTGCTCATCAAAAACTCCTCCTAAATCTTAGATGCAGTTTGCATGGGCACCAATGGATTTCTAGCCTATGAATTCTTGATTTCAACTCATCGTAGTAGCACAAAATCACTATTCTAGAACGCCAAACTATTATACTGTCATTAAAACGTCAAACCAATTTCCGATGTATTTCGCTGGTGGGTGCCCACGAGAAAACAAAATTCACGAAGTTGCTATGTGAATTTGTCAAAGAAACCCAATTTGGTTAGGTCAACATAAATTACTGGTGTGTGATTTTCAAATCAATAATTTTTTCTTGTGATTTATCGTCATTATGTCTAGATACATAGAACCGTTACCACCGATAAAACAAGGCCAGCAGACTCTGACGTAAACAGCTCGTGACGTCGCATACTCAGGCCATCTTCCAAGGCATTCGCGTCGATCGATCGTCAGTTTGTTTTTGTTTAAGAACGGTGGCGTAGGTAAATCGCGTGTGTGCTCGAATTCTCTTGTTGTTTATTCATCAAAATAATTGGCGGAGAAATTACTGTTTTGTGAAATATTTCGTGTTGTGATAGGCGAAATAACAATTCCTTACAAGTGTTGTGTTCCCTTTTGTCGGGGGAATTATGTGGGTGGTCCAAAATTTCATGCTTTTAGTTTCCCGTTGGACAAGGAACTATCGAAAAAGTGGGTACATGCAATTCGCCGCAAGGATTTTACGACTCCATCTAAGTACAGTAAAGTATGTGAATTACATTTTACTAAAGATGATATTATTACTTCATCTACTGCAACCGATTCAAAAACTGGCAAAACTGTAACAATAGATTTGAAAATTCCTAGGCTCAAACGAGATGTTATTCCCACTCAATTTCCCAACTGTCCATCTTATTTATCGGAAGATGTAAAATTACGCACAAGTCGTGATGAAAAACTTGAGATACTAGAGACTAAAAATTTGGCACAAGCACTTACCAAAAGTAAAACTGAATTCGAAAATTACCAAAAATCATTTTGCTACACAGAATTTCAAGAATTTCTAGTTGTATTAGAGTCTTTTCAGTTGCCCGAAACGTGGTTCAAAATTATCGATTTGCAAAAAGTCACATTATTCAAATTGTCTTATTCTCCAGGGCCCGTAATTACATATTCGGTTGTGATTGATTTTGTTTTGAATGTGGAATCATTTTTGTATGACCTAGCGATACAAACATCTCTAAAAGCCAATCTGAAAACACCTTTTATCTCTAATAATATCAATCAAATCAAGGAATTACTAATTGAAATAGATAAAAACGAGATACATAATTCGGGAAAATGTCTTGATAATCAGAAAAAGAGGGTTTTGAAACATATTTCGAATGCATTGGACTCTTTGGTTTCTGACTCAATACATTCTCAAATTTCTTTCTGAAAACGGTTATTTGCCTCGTGGCAATGAATGCAGAATTCATTCCAATGATCAAATTGCAACTATTATATTAACATGTACTACAAACACTCTACTTAAAAATTACTGTTTCAAGTCTAACGACCAATTGGGTAAAAAATCCAACAACAGGAAATTGAAAACACTCACTGGCTAATTTTTAAGGTAATAGGAATTCTCCAAGATAAATATAGGTAATTAGGTATAACAAACGGCATGTCTATCAAACTAAAATACATTTTCCCCAATTTTCTTTCGATCAATCTCATGATAAGTTTATGTTCTGCGGGCCCTGTATAAGTAGGTGTGAAGTTCACCTCTAATGAGATTGGATCACTACAATTTTTGCCAATATATTTAATTCGAATGGGTTGCTGTAGGTGGGTATTTGTGTTTTATTCTGGTTTTTGCTTTGAAACTTCGTTTTTCCATAATAAAATCGAATGGGATGCGAAGAAGGGCTCAGTTGACGGCTGGCATCCTCTTTCAACCGGAAGCCCTTCAAAAAAAAAAGCAAAATCGGCTCAATAATGATCTAAAACTAAAATCGAAATACGCGGTCGCCTTATAGCGCTATAAGCGCTTGTCGTTTCGAGCCGCTGGTTAGGCCTGACTAAGTGACGTCACCCACGGAGCATGCAGGCCTTGTTTTATCGGTGGTAACGATAGAACACCTAATTTCATGGATCGCCCCAATTTCGGAAACACCCTGTATACAACTGTGAAAACGACGCACCTTTGAACAGCGCCATGGGCCCCTCATGCCTCACGATATGCCTCAGACACTGCACAATACTCAACGACTGCCCGGGCACCGAAGTGCACCCGGAAAGGGCAACCACCTGCGGCCGCCCGTTGTGGCACGTGGTCCATAGGCGGCGCCGCTGGGGGGGAACGGTGCGGCACGTGGTGCGAGGCACGGGGCTCTCGCCGGGCACGGGGGGGCACACGAAGCCGCTTTTGGAGGACTGCAGGCGGGTCTTCACCACTTCCAGGGGGCAGGTCACGATGGCGCCGGTCGTTCCGGCAACACTGCAATGCGAATTTGGAATTTAAATTTTTGACCCCCTAAAAAAAAAATGGTACGCCCATGGAAGGTAAATTTTATTTTTTTGAGGGAAGTAGCATTATTTCATTCATGATCCCTTTGGAAAATAACTGAGTGTGCAATTTATTGTGCTGACGACGATAATAACATTTTGATTTTTGAGCCCTCCAAAAAATAACTAGGTACGCTCCTGGATTCGTAAATTGATATAATGAAAAAATTACAATTTTCATTTTTGACCGCTTCAGAAAAAACTTGTACGCTCCTGGGCTCGCAATTTTACTGGTCTCGAAGAAAGTGCAATATTTAATATTACTAAAATAACTGAGTACGCCGCTGGATTCACAATCTGTTGTAACAACGAAGAAATTACCGTTTCTAGTTTCAACGCTTCAGAAAATAAATAGGTACGCCCCTGGACTCGCAATTTTACTGGTGTCGAAAAAATTGCAATACTTCATTTTTGATCCCTTGAGAAAATAACAGAGTACGCCCCAGGATTCGTAATTAATTGTGCTGACGGAGAAATTATAATTTCAATTTCAATCCTTGTCTTTTTCTGGTGTCAACAAAATTGCAATATGTATTTATATTTGACCCCTTCAGAAAATAACTGGGAACACCCATGAAGTCCAATTATTTTGTGGTGTTGAATAAATAGCAATCTTCTATCATTGGAAAAATAGGAACGTCACTGGATTTCTGATTTTTTTATGGTTTCGGAAAAATTTACAATATTTAATGTGACCTCCATAGTCGGCGCCGCTGGGGGGGCACGGTGCGGCACGTGGTGCGAGGCACGGGGCTCTCGCCGGGCACGGGGGGACACACGAAGCCGCTTTTGGAGGACTGCAGGCGCGTCTTCACCACTTCCAGGGGGCAGGTCACGATGGCGCCGGTCGTTCCGGCAACACTGCAAAGCGAATTTGGATTTTTTCATTTTTGACCCCCTGAGAAAAAAAAATTGTACGCCCATGGGTACTCAATTTTATTTTATGAGGAAAGTACCCATTCAAAAAATAACTAGATACGTTCGTGGATTCGTAAATTGACAAGATGGAAAAATTACAATTTTCATTTCTGACCATTTCAGAAAAAATAGGTACGCATCTGGACTAGCAATTTTCCTGGTGTCGAAGAAATTGCAATATTTATTATTGACCCTCTTATGAAATTACTAGGTATGCCGTTGGATTAACAATCTGTTGTAACAACGGAGAGATTGCCGTTTTTATTTTTGACGCTTCAGAAAATCAATAGGTACGCCCCTGAACTCGCAATTTTGGTGTCGAAAAAATTTAAATATTCAATTTTTGATCCATTGAGAAAATAACCGGGTACGCCCCAGGAATCGTAATTATTTGTGCTGACGGAGAAATTATAATTCTTATTCTGATCCTTGTCTTTTTCTGGTGTCAAAAAATTGCAATATTTATATTTGACCCCTTCAGAAAATAACTGGGATCGCCCATAAAGTCGAATTATTTTGTGGTGTTGAATAAATAGCAATTTTCTTTCATTGGAAAAATGGGAACGCCACTGGATTTATGATTCTTGCTTCTGAATTCGTAAATTGATATGATGGAAAAATAACAATTTCAATTTTTGACCTATTCAGAAAAAATAGGTACGCTCCTGGGATCGCAATTTTCCTGGTGTCGAAGAAATTACAATATTTAATATTGACCCTCGTATAAAATAACTGGGTACGCCGTTTGATTAACAATCTGTTGTAACAACGGAGAAATTGGCGTTTTAATTTTTGACGCTTCAGAAAATAAATAGGTACGCAATTTTACAGGTGTCGAAAAAATTTAGATATTCCATTACTGATTCCTTGAGAAAATGACCGGGTACACCCTAGGAATCCTAGTTAATTGTGCTGACGGAGAAATTATAATTTTAATTTTGATCCCTTCAATTTCAATCCACGAAGACCAATTATTTTGTGGTGTTGAATGAAAAGCAGTTTTCTTTCATTGGAAAAATGGGAACGCCACTGGATTTATGATTCCTTCATGGATTCTGAGAAAAAAATATTTAATTCGACCTCTATAGACGGCATCGCTAGGAAGGCACGGTGTGGCACGTGGTGCGCGGAACGGACCCTCGCGGGGCACAAGGGTGCACGAAGCCGCTTCTGGAAGATTCAAGGCGAGTCATCGCCACTCCCAAGGGACAGGACACGATAGCGCCGGTCGTTCCAGCAACACTGCAATGCAAATTTGTAATATTTATTTTCGACCCCTAAGGGAAAAAAATGGTACGCCCATGGGTAGGCAATTTTATTTTTTGAGGAAAGTAGCGACTGAGTACGCAATTTATTGTGCTGGGAAAAAGATTTTATTTTTTGAACCCTTCAAAAATAACTAGATACGTTCCTGGATTCGTAAATTGTTATGATGGAAAAATTACAATTTTCCTGGTGTCGAAGAAATTGCAATATTTGATATTGGCCCCCTTATAAAATAACTGGGTACGCCGTTGGATTAACAATCTGTTGTAACAACGGAGAAATTAACGTTTTAATTTTTGACGCTTCAGAAAATGAATAGGTGCGCCCCTGGACTCGCAATTTTACTGGTGTCGAATGAATTTGAATATTCCATTTTTAATCCCTTGAGAAAATAACCGGGTTCGTCAGGGATCGTAATTAATTGTGCTGACGAAAAAATTATAATTCTAATTTTGATCCTTGTAATTTTTCTGGTGTCCATAATATTGCAATATTTATATTCGACCCCTTCAGAAAATAACTGGGAACAGCCATGAAGTCGAATTATTTTGTGGTGTTGAATGAATAGCGATTTTCATGCATTGGAAAAATGGGAACGCCACTAGATTTATGATTCCTTTATGGTTTCGGAAAAATTTAAAATATTCAATGCGACCTCCATAGACGGCGTCGTTGGGGGGCACGGCGCAATACGTGGTGCGCGGCACGGGGCTCTCGCGGGGCACAAGGGTGCACGAAGCCACTTCTAGGACAGGACACGATAGCGCCGGTCGTTCCGGCAACACTGCAATGCAAATTTGAAATTTTTATTTTTGACCCCCTGAGAAAAAAATTGGTACGCCCATGGGTAGGCAATTTATTTTTTTAGGAAAGTAGCAATATTTTATTCATGATCCCTTTGGAAAACAACTGAGTACGCAATAGATTATGCTGGCAAATACGATTTTTGTTCTTGTCCCCTTCTAGAAAAACGCCTCTTGTCTCGCAATTTTCCTGTTGTCGAAGAAATTGCAATATTTAATATTGACCCTCTCATAAAATAACTGGGTACGCCGCTGGACTCTCAATTTAACTGGTGTTGAAATAATTCAAATATTGAATTTTTGATCCCTTGAGAAAATAACCGGGTACGCCACAGGAATCGTAATTGATTGTGATGACGGAGAAATTATAATTCTAATTTTGATCCTTGTAATTTTTCTGGTTTCCAAAATATTGCAATATTTATATTCGACTCCTTCAGAAATAACTGGGAACACTTTATGGTTTCGGAAAAGCCGCTTCTGGAAAATTCAAGGCGCGTCTTCACCACTCTCAAAGGACAGGACACGATAGCGCCGGTCGTTCCGGCAACACCGCAATGCAAATTTGGAATTTTTATTTTTGACCCCCTCAGAAAAAAATATGATACGCCCATGGGTTAGCAATTTTAGTTTTAGAAAAAATAGCAATATTTTATTTATGATCCCTTTGGAAAATAACTAGGTACGCCATTAGATTCGCAACTCATTGTGCTGGGGAAGATGATTCTTATTTTAGATCCCTTTAGAGAATATTAATGAGTACGCCCTGGTTTCGAACTTTGACCCCTTCGAAAAATAACTGGAAATGTTCCTGGATCCGAGAATTGGTGTGATTAAAAATTACAATATTTAGTTTTGACCACTATAGAAAAAAAATAGGAAAGCTCCTGGGCTCGCAATTCTCCTGGTGTCCAAGGAATTGCAATATTCATTATGGACCACTTCAGAAACTAACTAGGTACGCCGCTGGATTCACAATCTGTAGTAATGACGAAGGAATTGCCGTTTCAGAAAAAGGAATAGGTGCGCCCCTGGACTCGTTATTTTTCTGGTATCGAAAAAAAATTGCTATATTCAATTTTGGATCCCTTGAGAAAATATATGGACACGCCCCAAGAATCGCAATTAATTGCGCTGATGAAGAAATTATAATACTTTGAATCCTAGAAATTTTTCTGGTGTCAAAAAATTGCAATATTTATAAATTTATTGTGCTGGCAAAGATACCATTTTTATTTTTAACCCCTTTAGAAAATACTTAGTACGCCCCTGTGCTAGCAATTTTCCTGGAGTGGTAGAAATTGCAATATACAGGGTGTCCCTAAATTGCTGGGACACAGAGCTACCACGTGTAATACAGTTCAAAATGAGTTGATTGGACCAAACTTATTTATATTAAAAAATGTCTCGAAAAATTGGGACACAGAGCTACCAAGTGTAATACAGTTCAAAATGAGTTGATTGGACCAAACTTATTTATATTAAAAAATGTCTCGAAAAATGTACTGTTTGTCCATGAGATAAGTTCAAAGTTTACATAGAAAAACACAATTTTGTAGGCTGTTCAAAAATGGGAGAAACAATTTCTTTCAGTAATCAAAGAAACCCAAAAGAAATTGTAGAAAGGTTGAAACCACCCTCACCCCCTGACATTTTTTTCAGAACATTCTTAGGGGTGGTAATAGGATTCACAATTTTTTTAAGCAAGATGACTGATTAATTATCTCAATTTTGTTACTCTTGTGAAGATGTCATATTCAGCATAATTGCTAAAGAAAAAAATGTTTCCTTAAATAATGCTAAAAGACATTCCTACTATATTAGACTAATATGCACTCAAAACTTGTTTTAAGAATAGTAATGAACAGAACAGAAATATTTACATGTATTGCCTATAATATTATATTGCTGGTATTTCCTAAATATTTCCTATATTTCCTTCTTATTGCCTGTATTCCCCTCATATTTCTTATATATTGCTGGTATTTCCTAACAGTTTTCTATACTTCCTTCATATTGCCTGTATTTCCTCCATATTGCTGTACTCCCAAAATATTGCTCCTATTGCCTGAACATTTCTTGTATTTTCCTATTTTCTGAAGAATGTCCTTGTGAAGACCTGTATTTCCAGGAAGGAATTTCCTGAAAATTCCAGTATTTCCTCCCAGATTCCCTACATTTTGTCTGTATTTCTAAGGTATTTTTTGTATTGCCAAATTATTTCTTGTATTTCCAAAATATTGCATGTATTGCCTGAATATTTCTGGTATTTACTGATAATTGCCAGTATTCTCAGCAAAATGTACAGTTAATTCCAAAGTGGTCACCCTTTGGCCTACCTTTATTATTACAAATATTGTAGAATTAACATACACATTATTTTAGTAATATTATTTGTTGCATTATTTGTTGACAAGTGTAAAAGTATGTTCCATGACAAGTAACCAATGCTGGATCTAATAGTGTATAATGGTGATAGATATATAGATAGGTATAGTCTTTCAGCTAGTAAGGTCTCTTTGAACAGACTGGCAGGGGAGCTGGCAGCCCTTGGCATATTTACTGAAGCAAGGGAAAGACTAATACATAAATATTTAAGTTACATAGATGGTTGGCAGAATAGCAGCATACCTCCATAGGCACTCAATTGAAATAAGTATAGGTACCTAGTCAACTAGGTATTTACCCTGGTATTTACCAAAGTATTCACCAGAGTATTTACTTCATAAGGTAAGTAAGTACCTAGTTTGAATTTCCTCATATTTTTTTCAACTTTATACCTCATCATAATCATGTTTGTCAATGTCAAGGTCTTGAGAGTAATAATAGTTCTCCACCTCATGATAGTTTCATAACAATATCAGTATTTTTTTTCAATATTTGCCTAATACACTTAATTATTGAAATTGACCATAATCATGGTAATATCAACAATAGGAAATAACTCATTATCTTTTAATATAAAAATAGCAGTTTATTTTTAGCTGTGGATGAAAATAAATGAATTGCAGATGCCAAAATAGCTATTTCAATCTCTTCTAAATCGATTTCAGCAATATTCCAATATGGAATACAATTGGATAAAATTACATAATATCAAAAAGGTATAGCACTACTCTACTACTCATTTGATATCAAATATACCTACACAACAAAGATTAAATTTAAATTATTAGATTGTGATGGTGTTTAAAGAAAGTTGTTATTATTGTTATCATCTTGTATTACTTACCCCCCTGCGACTAGATGAATGATGGAATCTCTCTGACTTTGACTCATGACATGAAATCACATGATTTAAGTAACTAACAATATATTTTGCGATTGTCAACTATTATTTACGACGGCGATAAACAAACAACTTGATTTAGAACATAATGTTGTTATTTTTAAAATGCACTTTCGAAATTTGCATTTAGAAAAAGGATTGTTTAAGTAGGTACTTGAAGGGTGTTTATTTGAATTTCTGGCATACGATACAGTAAGCAGTTGACTACGTGACAAACTCCTCGTAAATTCAGTCACTTTTTTCCTTCTTTGATGATTGGAAGTAAGGGCGATTTTCCCTTGAAATAAATTCAAACAAAACTTGATCCACTGATGTGCACCATGCGTCGGTCACGTGCTATTGTTTACCCGGTATATATTTAGCACTTAACAAATTCTAAACTAAACAAATACTTTAATAAGAACACACAAGCTCGCATTAATGACATACACTATACAATAATTCAGATATCGCTAGCTCAATGAACAGTAAGCAAAACAAATGAAATTTAAAACAAAAACATAATATCAAATGCGCACTTGTTTATGGATTATAGCAATCGCAACTTATGTGTTGGCTTGACACCATGGAACCGGTTTAATATTGTGCGATTTTGACCCTAACTCTGTATTCTGTCATTGATTATCACAAACAAACCATTAATGCATTAATATTTTTTTCATACGAAGCTGAGTTTTCTGATTTGGATTGTTATTGTTAGAAATATGATCGAATAACCCGAACGACTTTCAAACTGACATGCTCTTTAGCTCTTTATTTACACTTCCACTTTTTTGAGTGACGACTGACGAGTGACATTGACATTTGTCAGACTTTTGACAACTCGTTTTTGTTGGCAATGCATACAACTACGATATCCGTATATTTAGTGAACATACCGATTGGCAAGTTGACTTGCACAAATCAAGACGATCTACCCTAAATAACTTCTTATGTCTCATGTCATCAATAATTCAATAGTGTTAAGGGGGAACAACTGAGAAGCTGCTTAAATAATATCCACGTCTCAATTATCAAGTTTATATTCTAGCACAATAACACCTTTACAGGTCTCTAGTCTCAACTCTACTGGTCATCCTAACTATTCCCTGTCACCCTCTCTTATCTAGCTTATGTAACTCCTTAATCATGCATTCAATATCTCTTAGTCATAAAACCAGCACCCGTCGATATTCTAAACATAATACGGGGTGATGGTACTGAATCACACAACATATATAATAATAATGATAATATAATAATAATGATAATATAATACTATAGTGATTAATGTAATTTGGTGGGTATCTCTGGAGTGTTTCTAACATCCGGCCATCCTGCATATACATTGTCCTCAATGTCTTCCATATCTGAAAACACAATTCAAACTCAGTGAAAAAAAAAAACGACGAAGAGAGTCGCCTCTCTATGCTGTCCTCCATCTGAACATGTCTGGTTCATGGGTGTCAATAATCGTATCTATATCAGTAATGTGATATTTAACTGCAACTTGATGACCAGTTAGCTAACAATACATGAAACAACAATACATTAGACAAATGATAACAAGCTGGTGTAGTCTTTTGTAATCTGGCTGCAACCTTGAGCAGCCAGATGACATACACAGTCAGCTTACCATGTGAAAATTCACTTCCTAACAAGCTGGTGTAGTCTTGTACAATCTGACTGCGACCTTGAGCAGTCAGAAGACATACACAGTCAGCTCACACTGTGAAGATTCAGTTCATACCAAGCTGATGTAGTCTTGTGCAATCTGACTGCGACCTTCAGCAGTGAGAAGACATACACAGTCAGCTTACACTGTGACAATTCGATTCATACCAAGCTGGTGTAGTCTTGTGCAATCTGACTGCGACCTTGAGCAGTGAGAAGACATACACAGTCAGCTTACACTGTGACAATTCGATTCATACCAAGCTGGTGTAGTCTTGTGCAATCTGACTGCGACCTTGAGCAGTCAGAAGACATACACAGTCAGCTTACACTGTGACAATTCGATTCATACCAAGCTGGTGTAGTCTTGTGCAATCTGACTGCGACCTTGAGCAGTCAGAAGACATACACAGTCAGCTTACACTGTGACAATTCGTTACTTGTGATGAATATTTTCATCATTACTCACCAAATGTCATCGGTTCTTGCGGTGAATGGTTTGAGATGCTCTGCTGCAATAACTGCTTCATACCTTTCATACCGATTGCTGTTTTTACATCGTTCGGAGCCTAAGTCTTCTTTCACCCGGTATCTGTCATTTCCCAAGTTTGCTATAATGGTGAATGGCCCTTTATATTTTTCTCTAAGTTTTTTACTCAATCCATCACTCTCAAAGTTTGTGACTTTAATCAAAACCTTATTACCAATTTGATACTCTGAGGCTTGACGACGTTTCTTGTTATGGTAGTTATCTTGTCTTTGTCGGTTTTCTTCTAATTTTTGTCCAACTTCTTGTCTCAACTTTGTTACGTCTATCGCTGGAGGTTCGATGACATGGTTTACATAGCAGTCCCCTGGTGCATTCAGCTTTATGCCCAAAAGTACCTCAGCAGGTGTTGTCTCAATAGTTTTGTTGATTGTGCTATTGATACCCATTTGGATTTTATCGACATTTTGGTCCCATTCGTCTGACTCTAGTGTTGCCCCACAAGCTGCTACTGCGTCCAATATGGTTTTATTGTAACGTTCGACCTGGCCATTCGCTCTAGGCATTGCAACTGCATTTTGGTAGTGTCTAGTGCCTATATCTTTGCAGAATGCTTTGAATTTGGAAGATGTGAATGCTTTACCAGAGTCCGAAATTAAACGCTTTGGAGCACCAAATATGCTGATGAGGTTTCTCATGTAATCAATTACAGGGCTGCTTCTTGTACTAGGTACTGCCTGAATGAACGTGAACTTTGTGAACGAATCTACAATAACTAGTAAATATTTGTGACCTTTTTTTGTTTCAACGAAGGGTCCCATGTGATCGATATGGAGAGTGTGAAATGGACGAGCATACTTTGCTATTGAAAAGAGAAATCCGGGTTTTTTTCCTGCAGGAATTTTATGATATTGACAGTTAATGCATGATTTAATATACTTGGTGACAAAATTTCTCATTTTGGGAAACCAGTATCTATCTTTAATTCTCTGCAACGTCTTCTCTACTGCAAAATGACCTAATTCATCATGATTTGCTTGTACAATTTGCCAGCGACAATTTTTTGGAACTAACCAACGGCGACCTTGCTCGGTTAATTTGAAAATTTTTCCCGCCCTCAAATCATACGTTCGAAATATCTCTTTTTCGTCCTCACTATTTCCGGATTCTAAAATTTCCCGTATGCGTTTTATTTCAGGATCTTTATTTTGAACTGTCGCTAACCAGTCCCCTTCTGATATGCGCATGACCGACTCAATTGAATTTATGCTATTCGAACAATCAATGATTGGGTTACGGCTGAGGGCATCAACGTGGCGCATCTGTTGCCCTGGTTTATGTTCAATTTCGAATGTGAATTCTTGTAACCCGAGCACCCATCTACCTATTCGCGGAATGATATCTTTTTTCTTAAGAGTATTTTTGACTGCATTACAATCAGTTCTCACAACGAATTCAATACCTAGTAAATAATGTCGAAACTTTGAAACGCTCGTTACAATTGCCAAGAGCTCTAATTCAAACGAATGAAATTTTTTTTCAGCTGTGGATGTTTGCCTGCTATAAAACGCTACAGGTTTTTCACCACTTTCAGTTACCTGTACTAACATTCCACTCAAACCATCTCTACTAGCATCGGTATACAATATAGTTCTAGATTCCGGGTTAAAAATTATCAATACAGGTTCTGTCGTGAGTATCGTTTTTAATTCACTCACAGCTTTCGTATGTTCATCAGTCCAGGACCATTGAGTATTTTTACGTAGTAGTTTAGTTAGAACACTAGATTTTTGTGCAAATTTAAAGATGAATTTTCTGAAATATCCCATTAATCCAAGTAATTGACGGAGCTGATGTACATTTTTAGGAGTCGGAAAATTTTTTACTGCTTCAATTTTTGATATGTCAGGCTTAACACCCTCACTATCGATTTGATACCCCAAGAAAGTGATATTTTCTCTCAAAAAGAAACATTTTGATAAGTTCAGCGTAACATGATTTTCTTGTAATAATCTAAAAACTTCTTTTAAAGTTATTATATTCTCTTCAATTGTTTTTGATACTATAAGAACGTCATCCAGATATACTATCACATTTTCGTAGGCCAATTTCCCGAAAAGTTTGTTCATTGCCCTTTGGAAAACGGCTGGGGCATTAGCTAGCCCAAATGGCATACGAAGATATTCATAGTGGCCGTAAGGGGTTACGAATGCAGTCTTTTCTATTGACTCGGTGTGCATTGCAATCTGATGATAACCGGATTTGAAATCTAGACTAGTAAAATAACTACAATTCCTCAGCCTATCGATTAAATCTTCAATTCGGGGTAAAGGGTACTTTTCTTTAACCGTTATTGCATTGAGTGCTCTGTAATCTACACACAATCGCTTTTGGTCACTGTTTTTTTTATTCACTAATATTACTGGACCAGCATATGATGATCGACTTTCCCTGATAATTTTGGCTTCGAGTAGTTCCGTTGTGATTTCTTTCAACTTATTTTTTTCAGATTCGGCCATCCTATAGGGGTTACGCGCTATTGGTTTATCTAGTGATAGGTTGATTTTCATTGACTCACAATCAATTAGGCCTAAATTTTGAATGGAAGTTGAAATAATATTGCTATATTCAGCAAGGAGATGTTTTACTGTTCTATTTCCGATGATAGTATTATCTTCCTTTATTTTCAATAAGTTTTGTTTTGCGGGGAAAAACTGCAGTACATCTCCTATCCTACTATAACTAATGTCTTTATTTTCCGTAAAATTCCTACCAATGATGCACTCAAAATCAATATCTTCGTGCATTACATAAAGCATGCATGATAATGTTACTTCGCCAATGGTGACATTCGTATTGACTGATTCTTTGACTTCAACTCCATGGCCTAGGAACCCTGAAAGTATGACTGGACTTTCCAACTTCATAATGCTCAGTCCCAAATGTATTGCTGTGTTTAAGTTTATTATCGAGCAATCACTACCAAAATCGATGAAAGCTAGAAGTGTTTTGTTGTTCACTCTGATTTCGCGAATGAACTTATTTTTGTTTCCGACTGACACTATTTTAACATCAAACTTTTGACATTTTTCTGTTTTCGTACTATTTTGTTCTATCCTCTTTTTCTTGTGACATGCAGCTTCTAAATGACCTACTATACCACAATTATTACATTTTCGGTCTTTTATAATATTTCGACCCCTACATTGTAACGCTTTCAACTTTCTATGGAAAATTGAAAAGTCACTGCACCGTTAGCGTTGTTGTCTAGAGAGCATGGAGGTCGGGGTTAACAATTTATTATGTAATTTATTTAATTTCATAAGTTTCCAAAGAAATAAAAAAATGAGAAGGAAACTTACCCAGGCGCCACTTGACTTGAAGTACTCGGGATATTTGGCCTTGTCCAAGTCAAGAAAACAAGATCCATTTAATTTTGAAAAGTTCTTTACAATACAAAAAATTATATATACTCATTCAAATTTTCATATGTCAAACCAATGTTAACCAACTCAGGAAGAGGGGGAATGTATAGAAATTATATTCACCCAGATATTTACATATATTTACAAAAAAAAAACAATCAATTAACAAGTACCTATCTGAC